ATATATATGTATGCTTTTTAGGTACGAAGACGTCTCATTCAATGCGTTACACAATTAGTAACAAAGTTATAAGGCAATTTATAAGGGTATTAAAATACACGTTCGCAATTTTTATTATTTACGTAAAGGTATTTTGTTTACCTTTCCTTGTATAAGTGTATACAGAATATCATATTTAAAAATATAAAATAGCTTCAGCAGACACACCTACAAAAATGTGAAACACAGACTCACTAATTAAAAGTGCAATTAATTGCACAGATTGCATTGATTTTTCTGGCTCTGTTGATGACAGCCCTATGTATGTATTCATACACCATGGGTAGAAACCAAAGCTGGGAAATATATTATATCCTGCCGTTTCTCATTTATATATGGTTAAATTTTGACCAGTGAGTTCTACGTACGTAGAAAAGCGTCAACTTGTGTACATACATATACAGCATACCAAAAACTATTAGATTGGAGGTTTCTCAATTGTCATTATGAAGGTCATTACCGTCATTGTCATTAAGAATATCAATAAATACGTCGATTGCACTTACATGTAAGCAACTCAAAAACCTGAGGTGACTTGCGAACACTAAGGGCGCTAGGCTTTCCTTTCTTTTTTTCTGGTTGTTCCATAACTCTCGACTAAACTGGCAACCCGATTGTTATGGTGGTCTTGCTTAGAAGGACAATCTTTAGTTGCTTTCGAATGGCGCGCTTGCTTCCTTCCTCTCTACTTGCAAAACTTGTTTCCGGTTTCTGTGCAGACAGCATTTGGCTGGCCTAGACTTGGCAGTCGCCATTCAGCGTTACACACTTCCGTTTTATACACATGCATAAATATATGAATGGGTGCAGTGCAATGAAAGAGCGACCTTGTTTCGACAAATATTTTGATATTATTTCGAAATTTTAAATTGATTGCCACAACCCTATCGAGCATACAAACATCTTTTGTCTATTGGTTTAAATTGTAATATACAAAAAAAGTAATAGAAATGTAATACTTTAAAATGTATCGTATGTACATAATATTGATGCAGCAGAAGGGGCGAATGATAAAAGGTAACAAAATCAGAGAAGCAAGGTTAGAATAGGGCTATTAAATTTGGTTTAAACTTTTTCAAAATTTTGTCATAGCAGGGAGCTGCCATCAAAGCTGCCATTTAGCTGATTATTTTTTTAGATGCAAGCAACGTTATGGACGTTGGCGAGGGAATCTAATTGCCCCGGGAAACAATTAACGAATTGCATTAAAAAAGGCAGACTGCATTCAATCTAAAGCTCGTCAAGTATCTTGAAATGTATGACATGCGATTCTATCTAAAGTCTATTTGCTCCGACTGCGGTTATGTGGCTGACGTTTAAAGAAAATCAGAAACTCACAGCTCACTAAAATTTCTAAATTGTCTTACAAAACACTATTAGAATTATCGATAATTGCGCACAACTTAAAAATATATAAAAACCCATCAACTGCTTCAACAAATTTGTTGATACTCGTCATTAAGCAAACGTACTCGTAATCAAACACAATTCAAACAAACAGACCACAAATTATCCGGATAAAAAAATACACAGAATCACACGAAAAGCAAACTAAACAAAAAAAGTATCTACTAGAAAAATTATATTAATTAGCTCTGATTCATGAAATAAACTTTCTGATGTCAAATGAAACAAATAAAAGCAAATCGAATTTTTGCGCGCCATAGTCAGCATCAGGAAACAAAGCCGAATGGATAAGATGGAGAAACGAAAATTCACAGAGCCAATGGAAAATCGACCAAAGTAACTTACAACCAGGAACTGGACATGCGGCACGGAAACGTCTTGTATAAAGTGTGGAACAAATGTTTCACGACAGCCAAGACGAGAAATGGGAAAAGTTCAAAGACGCTGGCAGCAGAGCCCAGGAAAAAGCGGTAAATTGAATGCCGACTGTCGTATAACGCCAGCAGGATGTTGGCCATTATACTTTATGCAAATGCTGTGGCAGCTTTAACAACCCGGGGCATGCGCCCGGCCAGTAGACTTTTTTCTCGCGGTCAGCCTCACCATGTTGCCAATTACTTCGTTCGTCGCTCTGTCCCAGAGCAACAGAATCAGTGAAGGCAACAACAACGCAACCACATACACCATGCATTTTAATTTAATTAATTTAAATTCCTAATGCGATATCTTGCGCCATCCACATTGCCTCTCACTCCTACTTAAGTATGTAGCCACGACTGTCTAATGCTGCCCTTCTGCAACGAGAACCAAGCAACCGTATATTTAAAACGATTTTTACGCTGGCGCTGCATTTGTTTAATGTTGCGTAAACAATTTTAGGCGCGGAAAATTAATAGACACAGAGGGCAACAGCACAAGCGGAAGCCTGACTGTCAAAGTCGGTAAGAAATTTTCCAACCAATTAAAGTTTGAAAGCCGCTTTCAAGTAAAAATACCACACAATTTAAAAGTAATACTAATACTTTGTAAATCGACCGACCCAATCTAATACGAAAATCAACACGCAAATGCTTCAGACTTAAACGGATAGTATGAAAAAATTCCGGACTTTCATAACAATCTCTCCACATTACAATGTGTTTGGGGGAATAAAAAGAATTTACCTCTCTAACTATTTATTTCATTTAGATTTATGATTAATTAATAATCGTCAGTGAGTGGAAAAAAAGTTGGTTATAATAAAAAGTAAGTAAGAAGTTATGATTTATAGTGCAATAAGGTTAGTGGTACAGGTGTACCAACTTGAAATGCAGAAATCTATTTCCGTTTTGCGCATCACCAATTGGGCTTTTTCCACATAAAAAAGCAGGAGCAAGTCAAAGGAGCATCAGCTCAAGATGCAAATGTCAGAGCCAGGACCCACCTTTAGCTTCAATCAGCCACAGCACTGAACGACACAACCGGATGCGCAGGAACTTACCAAAGTGCATTGCGCTGCAAGAATGCAAAAGAGTCAACGAAAAAAGCGTGAAAAGCATTTTACTTGCGGATTTACCTTGAATTTTAAAACTTAATGCGCTGGGCGGATAGATAAATAATGTTATGCAAATGATATGTGCATAAAAGTCAACAGATTCAGCGCCCACCTAGTGACAGCATCTGTTAGGCACTGACGAATATACTGCACCAAGAGCAACCCAAATGACTCCCAGCTTTCAAATGTGAAAGCAGTTAGAAAGATGAATAGATTGGCTATCAACATACGCAAACGCTTGACAGATTCTCGGTCTGCGCGAGGGTCGGGCCTTCGAAAGCGGAAGCAGAACAAGCTGGAAACATTTGCATATTTTGGGTGTCAAATGGGGCTCTTCCACACTATACACACGCGCATATGTAGATACTCGGCGTGTGTGTATATGTGTGTCCTATTCACTGTTTGAATGACATTGCACTGAAGTTTCCGAAATTGCTGCGAAATTGTGTGCCAAGCTTCGCAGTCGGTGCATAAAAGCCAACTTCGGCACCTGACATTGCGATGCTTTTCCCGATCTAGAGTTCGCAGCGCGCAACTGAAAGCGGATTTTGATAAATGCTCCAATGTAGAAGTCAAGTGAGTCACCCAGGCGTCACCATCTTATGGCAACTGACAGTAGCAGGTACCTTTGCTATGTCAATGGGCGTGCTAGTGCTTTACTACTGCCAAAAAAAAAAACTTTAAGAAAGGAAAGAGCTACGCGTCAAGCAGAACTCTTATTGCCGAATACCTTATTGAAGGTGTCTAGGCGTTAATAATTTGCATTCATTAAAAATGCATTTGAAAAACAACAAAAAAAACACAATATGTTTTAGGCCGGTGCTGTGGCAATTTAGCCCGCGGCCCTCGGCTCCATGTGCATGAAATTATAAGCTAACAAGCAAACAGATTGCCTGGGAGGAAATGAACATTTTCTTGTTTCTCTCCCATTTATACATTAATGCAAAGGGTATTGAAATTTTATTTTTTTGAAAAAGGCATCCATAATAAGTCTGAATGTTTGTTTTTGTTGAAAATAGTCTCTCAGCTTAAAAGGTCTCGGGAACTTTCCAAGATCCGTCCATATGATATATATAGATCCTATAGGGACAATCAGTCAATATTATAATGTCACTTGAATAAATAACCAAACTGTGCAATTACGGGCCTAAACTAAATTTTTTAACATATTGGCAAATTGGGCAAATTAACTGACTGTCATCAAGGGTATTCAAGCTTCGGCACCCTGAATAATACATTTCTATATTTTTGTTGACTTTCCTCCTGCTCGGCTCTTTTCTGTGCATAATTTAAAAGGCAGTAAATTGCAGATGGAGAAGCGCTGAAAGGCAGGCGCCAAAGAAAAGTAAACAGTAAACTTATAGCAAAACATGCAAAGATGCTGATCGCAAACACCCCACGCTATACAACCACACACACACACACACACATGTTTGTTCGACATATGCGGCCGAAGTTTTAATGAAACAAAATGCGGTTCTCACGGGTGTTTTGGTGTACACGTGTATAAGTTGCCCACTACACCTAGCTTTGCCCAGAGCATCGCCAATGTTTTAGCTGGAAAGGTGTCGTGGCGTGTAAACTCTACCACAAAACCATACAAAGTTTGTTGGCGTCAACTGTGAGCCACCCACCGGAAATGAGAAAAGATACCAATACAACGGAAAGGTGCACTATGCACATTTCTCACATGCATGTGGTGATGCGTGCGAGTAAAATAATGAAGCAAATTCAGTGTTTTAGCTGTTTTGTTTGAGCGCCATATCCTTCGGAAATAAAACGAATAAATTTAGGAAATAGCTTCGAACAAGTAAAGTAGTTAAAAAAATTCCACACACCACATAGCTAGAATCACGAACAGCTGTATTTAGCAATAGTTACAGAATATTTTAAAAACATAAAACACAATGAAGTCTACAGCTATCTACAACATTGGGCTGAAGCTTTGAACTTTGACAGTAATTGCGACATTCGCATTAAAATCTAAGCTATGCAGGTTTCCTAAATTTCAGGCTGTGCTGCTGTGGCAGCGTCTGCGTTTTTAATGAACAAAAGCAATCGCTAATGCCACGTGAACACATTAGCACTCACCACACAGCCAGTCAAAGCTAACATTACCTTGTCAAGAGTAACACCAGAGCTCAGTGAGCGGTGGCAATATTTGTGTTTGTAACCAACCATTGCCTACTGTCTGATGACACTTTAAAATGTGTGTGTTTTAGATAAATTATTCAAGCAACAACTGCGCTTTTTAAAATTGAGTTTGCTGTGTTGTGACGCAGACGACAGCATTTGTGGTAAGCAAACGAACAAAAACTGAAGTAACCGCTCTAGCACATATGTATGTAGGTCCATTTACATGTACATATGCGAGAAGGTGTGCAATAGTTTCCCAACTTCTGCACCCGCAATGTGAGCGACCTAGTTCCAACATGCAAACACATTGCAGCTCATTTTTCAGCACTGTTGGCGTCAACAGTAACAGTTAAGATACTGGGTGAGAAAGAGTATACAGTAAAAGTTAAGAATAAAAAAGAATTACTATCTAGCAGACGCCGCAAATTAAATACCCTTGTCGAAAAACTACTGGTATGCGTCATATATTAATACTTGGAAGTGTATTCATTCAAACACCATGAGTAGGAATGACGATTTTCTCTGTATGCTTGCGTTTTGGTTGGACTGAAGTAAGTAGAATTCAAAATGCATTCAAGGTGTGCACTCTTTAATAAAAAATTATAATCTGCTAGGACTAAAGCTAGAGTTCAAATTATGAGAGCATTAACATTGTGCGGCTCCTGAAAATAAAATTCAATATTTCCCATTCTGGCAACATTCATAGTTTGCCGACTTAAATTGAATTGCTTAATTTGTTATGCATTTCATGCATGATATTTAAGGCTACTTGCATACCATTCCACCATTACGATGTGCAAGGCCCGTTGTCCCATGTATGCCACCTGGGTCGCCTGACTCAAATGACCATTTTCAATGCTGGGCGGAGAGGAGGTCTGACTTGTATAAAATCAATACAGAGCTGAAGACACAGGAGAGTGAAGTGCAGCGCTATTGGGATGGATGCCAAGATTTAATGCCACCTGCTGTGACTTCTATAACAGTATCGCACTTATTTCAATCTCAGCTTGGTTTTAAAGCAAGAAAGCTAGAATTTTTGTCACAAAATTTATTCGGATGTGAAAATTCTTAAATTTTAATAAAGCTGCAATTTTCGGGACCCAACTAATTACAAAACCAGCCACTTGCTGTGACCTCAACATTGTTGACAAATTTAATGTGCAGGTGACAAAACCTAGGTCAGGCTAACAGAATCGCCAAACTGACCACATACTTGTCGTTTCCTTCGTGATTCAGTTATAAAATGATGACCCGTAAGTATGTATTAAGCGACCACAGCAAACTTGGCGAATAAAGGCTAAGTCCACAAAGAACCACCTGGTTGCTTAGGGCCAAGACAGCAACTAAGATGGTGGGTGACGCCAAAAACGGTGCCAATGTCCAGACCTTGTGTCTAGGCGCCATAAAATTCAAGAGTGCAGGAAACAGGGAAAACCATTGCTGATGTTGCTGTTTTTACTTTTGAGTGCCGGTCTGATCCATGCCAACAGTCACTTGCTCCTTGGGGCGCCTTCTGGGGCAAAAGTTTATTGTTCACGAACATACTGTTGCTATTGTAATCAAATTTGTCACGCTTCGTTGGGGTTTAAAACGAGAACTTCAGCAACTTTCGCAAGAACGCTTAATTTTTAGAGAGCAGACTTTAGTTGCGTCGGTGTGCACATTTGTCGTCAATGCCAACAGCGGACATGACTCGTATAGCTTCTTGCTGCTTTCCTAAGTAAGATCTTCTTAAGACGTCGTTGAAACCGGTTTTAGGTAAGCTCTCTCCGCAATTTTTCCACCAATCAAATGACGCCCCAAGGAAAACAGATGCGTCCACATACTCCCGAAGAGTTGTGGTCCGGTCCGTTGAGGACCGTGGATTATAAGACAATAGCCGTCTTTGCAAATATTTAAGCGTATCCTGGCAGTGATGTGCGCAGTGTTAAAGCTAATCGATTTTGAAACAATGTTCGCCTCCAAACTGCGAGCCAAATTTGACAAGAATACACGTTTTATATTCTTATGTATTTATTTTTATTTAATTTCAGGTACCAATACCCGATCACTGACCAATGCCCAGCAACTAATTGCGGCCTCTTCCACCTCGCTAACTGCGGCGCAACCGCGCTTCCTTTCCCGTGGGCACACCTATCGGGCAGTTGTGGGTGACACGCTTGTCCTGCCCTGTCAGGTTGAGAATCTGGGTGAGTACGCCGTTAAAAAATTAAAAATGCAGCTTTATTTTCGCGGCTTGGATAAGTTTCGCATAATTGATAATCCATCATTAAAATTTGTTGATGTGAAAAGCACAAAACTAAGCCTGAAAACACACGAGAATTTTTTGATTTCCGAAAACCGCATAGTCATTTAATACATATTATGCAAAATAATATGCAAATATGTTTAGGCAAAATGTCTCTCCAAATAAGTTTTATAAACACCATTAACAACAATGGCAGCCCCAGCACGACAATGCAAAACCAACAGCTGTCAGCAGCTTGCCAATCGATGCTTTCATGCGTTGCCTCGCGTGGCACGACTAACCAACATATTTATCAAATGACATCTATAAATTTATGTTCACACATATAGGCATACACTAGCATTAAATCAAATTAAATAATTAAAACCTCCATCTTGGTTCTGTATAACAATAATAAATACTGAAAGTTCTAACGACATGCACTGAAAATCGCAATATGGTGAAATTAGTATTAGTGTATTCAAGACTTTGTATCGTATATGTGTAGTTGAATTTTTCAATGCATTACAATAATGTTTACTATTAGCAACTAAGTGCCTATTTTAATTCCTGAGTTAATAAATAGCCTTTAATATAAATAAATGTCATAGGCTTGCAGAAAATAGATTGCTGTTGACAATTATATCACAATTATAAACAAATAAAATATATGTAGGTCCAAAACTTCTTTAAAATGTAAAATCACTGTACTTTCAATGAACACTAATTGTTGGGCCCAATACACTTTAACATGACCTAGTTTAAAGGAAAACTTGTAAAGAGTTTTAATTGCAGTTGACAAGCCAATAAATAAAATGCAATAAACCGTTCGCAGCAAAATGAAAATAAATTGAACATTGACGACATCGACGACAATGCGACCGAAATCTGTTCAGGCTGTCAGTTATCATTTGTACGTACGTATTGGCGGCAGCAGGAGATAAACGGGATACACGTTCAAAAAACTGCCATATGATTGTAAATGTAAAAACAATTAATGCAACCATATGTCATACTTAAGACTATAGGATAATGCTTTAATTGCCTTCGGTTGAGTTAGTTAAAATAGTTGAACGATGACGAGATGTTAAACAATCTTTGGGATTTTTAAAATTTTTTAGTCGTTGCATATATAATAAAATAAAATTGTTCTCTTTGGAAAACCTAACTAATAGCAAAGTAAACATCACTGTGTATACACATCAATGTTGCCATTCGACAATGTACATACATTCGTACATACGTGTAATGTTTTTACAGTGACTGCTATCTTTTCTTTGCTACATTTAATCCGTATTAGTCTTTAATGATTGCGGGACGGCGAAGGTTTAATTGCAGTATTAAATTACTCTTTTCAAATAAAATAGCCAAGTGAGGTAAACGGAAAGCATGGTTAATTGGCACAATTGAAAAACAGACAAAGGGGACCACGACAAAATAGTTTAAATCCAATTAAGAAAACAAATATCAAACTGTCAATGAAGCCCTTCGTCATGCAAATCATCAACGTTATAATCAAACAAAAAAAAACTTTTACTGGATATAAGGAGGGGTAATATATTTAAAGGGATTCGGAATCTAACAACTTGCATATACAACATAATAGCACAATATTTCACAACATTATTATAAAGTTATACAAGTAACAGATTCCCAAAAAGTGATACACCCTGTGCCGATTCCCAAAATACCAAAAATCACATTAATATTAATACTCCCCAATTTCACACTATGAAATATTCATTTATAATACTACAGTTTTTGGGCTAAAAGACGACATTAAACTATGTGTATAAATCAAAAAATTCTGAAATTGTCTTCAAAAGCGTGCTGTGATATGGTATGTTAGCTCTTATCTTGGTGTATCTAGCTCTTCTAATTTGCGAGAAATTCTTAAAAACCTATATCTGATGACTGTTTGTGCCGATATAAATAATTTATGGAGATACCTCTCTCCGCCTTTCACATACATACGCACAACTTATTTAAGTCTCTTAAAAAAGTTTAAAAAATGAGTCCAATTTGCTAGCCAACCCTTTCTTATTCTGCACAAATTCGTGTCTATAAAAAAAGACTATAAAATTCAATTCTTATTACCCAATGAATACAATTTTTGCTCAGCTAAATAATATCAATAACCTCGCACGGTAAGCCAATGTATCCGCATACAATTCGAGACCAGAGCGAACGGACGCAACTCACAAAAGAAGAGGAACAAAACCCTCCTTTTACCATCAACTGGGCCTCGAACAAATGGCCAACACTTACGGGAAAACTCAATCCGATTCAATAATAATCAAAGCAATAAAAAGATGATTGTATTCGCTTAAGACGACTTTATAGACGGCCAAAAAGGGGCAGAAATAAAAAGTTATAAGAGACAGTTCTTTTTGCTGAAATATTCAATGTGACAACGTTTATCCTTGTATCCACGTTAATATGTACGTGGTCCCCTAACATATACTTATTTTTAACTGGGTTATGTCGTTGCGGCTAAAGTACCCCACCTAAATGTTGTGGCAAATTCAAATTGTTGTGAACATATAACAACCCTTTATACACTTAACGGTATAGTTTCCCTTTACTACAAGCTATCCCCCAGTCGTGTATTCAGAAGCAGAGCTTTTTCGGTTCATTAGTGTTTTTATATATTTGTAAATAATGCGATCTCAGAAACAATTTGCCAATAAGTAAACGAAATCTAACTCTTCTCTGTAAGCACAATTTCATATTTTAAGCCTTTAAAGGAAAGAATGGAAACAATCAAAAGACCAACCGCATGCACGGTTAGGTGAGCGTGTGTATGTTCTGATTACCTTATTAAAAAGTCCAACAAATTGTAAACGACTGTGTACAAAAAGTAGGTCCTCGCAGCAACATTTAATTCAAATTTCACTTAGTAAATAGTTATAACAAAGCTCCCGAAATTATTGTGTTAAACTTTTCTTAAATTTATCGTGAATGCACATTCCCAGCCTAAGCCTATGCGATAATAAATAAATAATGTGTCTTGTAATCTCGTATAACAAATTTGTATTTTGTAACGGCTATAAAAACTGTAAGTTGTATTAAATATGCAAAAAGATGGAAGAAAAATCTGCCAACAACATCTACGAAATTATGTCATTTATATGAACAAACACACTAAAAAATAGATGAAAGCACTAGGACACACTCGAAATCTCGCCAGCAATGGGATAGTCAGGCAAAAGAGAGAATCTGTAGTCTGTACACAGCTCAGCAAACCGACCAAGCGACTTGGGGCCTGGCAAAGCGGATAGCATTTTAGATAGATGTCTGTATCTGTATATGGCTGCATGAATGTGTGTGTTTGTCTATGCGACTAGACGACAACTACAATGTGAACCTGCTGTCCGCTTTAATGTCGTCTATTTAGCTTCTTGAAAGTATATGTATATCTTAGTTGCTTTATATTTGTATTGTGGCGATTCACAATAAATTTTCCAGCTAACAAGGAGGACAACAGGCGAAGATATTTTCGTATGCGCCTTTAATATTTTGTCTGTTCCTGAATTTGCGCTCTGCTTGCTTTTGTTGCAGGCAATTTCGTCTTGTTGTGGCGCCGTGGCACAAATGTGCTTACCGCCTCCAACATCATGGTAACACGGGATGAGCGCGTAAGACTGATAGATGGTTATAATTTAGAGATATCAGATTTGGAGCCGCAAGATGCAGGGGATTACGTTTGCCAAATCAGTGACAAAATAAATCGTGATCAAGTACACACAGTCGAAATTTTGGGTGAGTACACTTATGCACACTTATGTACACTTACAACATATCAAACCTAAATTGTAAGCAAATAGTTTATTAAACCCTTTTAAATCTTCAAAACTATTATTTTCCATACAAACAGTGCCTCCAAGCG